GCTCTGTATCCTCTACAGATTTGCAAAGTGGAACACACACATTGGTTAAGAAGATAGGCTATGGAGTCAGACAGGCTGAGGACTGCATCCTTGCTCTGTCATTCACTAGTTGTGTAATCCTGAGAAGACTGCATAGCCTTTTCTAAAGTCTGTTTTCTCATCTGTATAATGGAATGATAGTATTTCTTCAAGAAGATGACTGGACGGATTTTTAAGATAATACATGTAATGTACTTACCATACTGCAAAAGTGTGTTTAGTGATGCTAAAGATAGCTAAAATGGAAATAATGATGATTATATATTTTCAAATTGTTGATTGAAAAATTAGGAAAAGATCTGAGATAGGTCTTTTGGGTTTAAGTCAATCAATTAATCAGAACTTTCTGGGTGTAGTAGGTGTTCATTTAACTATGAATCATCCTACTGCAGCCCTCTAGCCTGCATTTATTGAATTTGTATGTCAAGACAGAGTTCACTTACTTCTTCTCCATTTAGTAACTGTCTGGAGCACCATATTCCAGTGTGCTGAGTAAAAGGAGATTCAGTAATGTCCAGGGAGAGGTCTGGTTTCAGTCTGCCTGAAGAGACTATTTTTCTCTTGCCTTGCTGACAACGCTATCTCTCATGTCATTGGCATTTCCCTGAACTTCTAAGGGTCTTACACCTCTTTTTAAAAAAGAAAATAATGTTAGTTCCAAAGGACTCATTCATAACAAATACTTTTTAGCTTCTAAAACCAGGTGTTCGATTTTTTTAGTTTGTTTTTGTAATATTTATAGCATTTTGGTTAGGGATTGACATTAAGTTCACCTAAGCTTCCTCTTTTTGTAACCCATAATCTTTCCTCTGAGATTAACTTGTTTTAGTTTCTTTACTTCCTGAGTGACCTTCGGTCATGTGCTCCTTCTTTCAGGAAGATAACCGTCCTTATCTACCTGGGAGTTGAGGTGAGGGTTACATTCCATTATTGGTTCCTTTAATGTGGAAGGAATTTGTGAGCTTTAAAGGACGATATAAATGTACAGTGATGTTATTGCTGTTTATTTCCATATTTTAGCCATCAGTTTTACACTTCACAGGTGGAAGTGTTGTTCCTGATCTTCTTTGTTACTGTCTTTTGAGAATTACTGGACACTTTCTCTACTGATTTTTTTCTTTCTAAGTCATACTTGCCATTTTTCCACATTATTCAATATTACATTGTTATTTAAATATTTCCCTCTATCCCTCACATTGAAGTTTTATCCAGACGTTCAGGTTACTAGCGAATGCTGTGCTCCTGCTCTTTGTGGGATGAGGAAAACAATCCTGCTCTTCATTACCTTCGGTGTGGCTAGTACTCTCTTCTCTCACATTCTAGCCCTGGAAATCAAACTCCTCCCTGCCCCCACGCCCTTCAGTCTCTTCAGCAGGCTCCCTGGCCCTCCGAAGGTGCACTTCAGGCTGCTCTGGTGTGAACATTCGTGACTGTTTTTGGCCATGTCGTCTCATGGGGGCCTTCCGTTTTGAGTTCCTGGAAGAACAGGGTCTCTCTGACCCTTCTTTAAGCAAGTCTTCTTCGTCCATTTTTTTGCCGCTGATAATTGCTAAATTGTTAATGGTCCTCAACAACTTGTACATCTTGGTGTCAATTAGTTTTTTCTGTGAACATCAGATAAATATAAAACTGTGAGGCCAATATTTCAAGCCTCTCTATTGTGTTGAAGTGGTGGTGGTGTCGTGGATAGTGGGGGGACACTGAATACAATCTAGGAAGACAGTGCATGTACAACAGGATGTTAATTTACATAAGATGGTAACCAGAAATCGCTTTATGAAGCTTCTGCTTTGTACCACAATGTGTTCTGGAAGTTTCCTTGTTAAGTAGATCATTATTAATCAGCACTATTTTCTCCAGTGTGGTACAATATAACAAGAGTCACAGTGTAATTTATTTTTGAAACCCTGATACTTTAGAGAATGTAGAGGAGAGTATTAAAATTACACCTGTATAATAGGCATAAACTAGTACTGTTGTAGGCAACTGGGATATAGGTTCACCCTAACTGAAACCAGAGATAAACAAGGACTCAGGCACTCAGTCGTAGCTTTAACCAGAATGAAACAGGAGGAATGACCCAGGAACTCTAAATCTTTGTGATTTAAATAAAATATTAAATTTTAAGTCCCATAAAATAGACAAAATAAGTTATTAATATATACAGTTAATTTCGAATAGGCCCTGAGTGACTATAAAGTGTTTAGCATATGATTTTACTTTAACATACATTTGTCTTTTATGAACCTAATAAGATGCTTGTTATAATAAAAATCAAATTTGAAATTAAAAATAGTTCTCTTTCATTGATTTCTGGTGGGTTTTTTAAGGCAGTGACTTACACATCTCTGGCATCTTCAAAAGGCAAGCTTCCTGGGGAGGTTTGAATAGGTGTCCTTTTTTTTCTTCATGAATTTTTCATACAGCAGAAAAGTTCAGGTTTTTTTTTTGTTTCTCTCTCTCTCTCTGTTCATCTATATAGCTATCTACCAAATCAGTAACTATTTATTGAGCAGCTACTATGTGCTGAGCCCTATGTCCTGGGAATACAATTACCAATGTGATACAGTTCCTGTTTCTTTGTATTTTTTTTATCTTTCTGTGTTTCAGCTCTGTCTTTGATTTTTCATCTCCTTCTGTTTCTCTTTCCCTTTGTCTTTGAAGCAAATGCCTGTTTCTGTATTTGGCAAGGGGTTTGACTATCTAGTCAGATGTTATGAAAGTCTTAATAGAGGAAGAGAAATATACATTTGTGACTCATTTCTTTTTTTTAATTTTTAAAAATTTCATATTTATATCTTTAATACATTTGCCACAGATGACGAATGGACCCCCTGTTGTAACAAAAGGGACTGTGACTCATTGCTTTAAAAAAAAAAAATAGACTTCAGGAAAAGAAATTTGAAGTGTACCAATTGAGAAGGAGTGTGTAGTAAAATCGAAGTTTCCAGCCAGCAGTGGTAATTGTAGCGAATGTCTCATTAGTTTATCAGCTTTTGCATTTAAGTTCTCCTAATATCTCACTTTGCTGTTCTCCTCTCCAAGAGGAGCACAGACAATCACTACAACGTGATTTGTTATCCCAGGTGAGCATTCAGGGAATGGGAGGCAGTTACGAGGGTTGGAAAAGCAGGTGCAAATTAGGGAAGCGGGTGAGCCATGAGAGATTTGGCCGAAGACGTAAGCAGAAATCTTATCAGCTATGTTAAGGAGCTTGAACTATATCCTGCAAAGGGAAGTCTTTTGAGGCGTTTTTTATCAAAGGTGTGCCATGATCCTATTTATCTCTTAAGAATCCTGCTTAAGTCTGGGGAGGACTGGAAGAGCGGTAAGAATGCACAGTGGCAGACCATCTGAGAGGGGGTTTTAAAAATCTAGGAGATATTGACCTAGACCAGGGGATGGAAAGAAAAGTATGGATTTGACGAATAGCGTATTCGATGATTGAAAGTGGGTGCTAGTGCTGGTTATACATTGTTCCCAGGTTTCTTTTACTTGGGCATCTGAAGTCGGTGGTGCCATTTGCTGAGATGGGCAGTGAAGACACATGGGACATTGAGCAGGTTTTCTCTCAGGCCTGTGGCTGCGATCAAAGTTGGTATCAATCTTCTAGTAATAATCAGGGTAGCATCTAACATTGATTCCCGCACTAAGGCCTTTGGTTGTGAGCATTTGGAGAAGAGATAGTGATCACAGCTGACTTTTATAGTTCATTTTCTTTTTCTCTGCCACTCCCAATGACATCGAGAGTCACCTTGCAAAGAAAGAAAAATCACAAAAGGACAGCCTAAAAAGTGTGAGAGTGTGCACACACTGTGTGTAAGTGATAGCCTCTGAGGACGGTATTGATGGTTCATAAACCTCTGGCCCCTCTCAGTCCAATGGCAGAAAGGCTGAGTAAGAGAGAAAAGCAAATAAACAGACAAAACCAGCTAGTCAAGGTTACACAGCGTCCTGATTGAGAGAGTTCCTGGGTTGGATTGCTTGGGTTCCAGTTCTAGCTCTGCTGCTTAGTTAGTTGTGAGATCCTGGACAAGTTACTTCATCTCTCTGTGTCTATCCGTTTTCTCATCTGCAGAATGGAGAAACTACGAATAACTGATTTCATTTTAAAATTCTTACCTAAGTTATTGTAGGTAAAATACTTATGAGTTACTTTATTTACAATGTGTGGAACAGTGGGTGGCACTGTTACTGTAACAGAATTTCTTTTAGCAACAGTGAATGAGCAAAACTGCAGATAATGGACAGGGCGTTAGTAAGTAGGAGGATTGATGACATTGCACTGTAATGACCTTTTTTTCCCCTGTATATGTGATTTTAGACCCTGTAGAGCAGTGGTCCCCAACCTTTTTGGCACTGGGAACCGTTTTCATGGAAGACAAATTTTCCATGGACCAGGGTTGGGGAGGGGGGGATGGTTTGGGGATGATTCAAGCACATTACACTTACTGTGCAATTTATTATTATTGTTACATTGTAATATATAGTGAAATAATTATACAACTCACCATAGGTTGGGGACCTCTGCCGTAGAGCATGTGTAATATAGGTTGGGTCCTTGCGATTCATTCCTCCCAGAAAGAGCGTGTTGCGGGGGCAGCTCATGTTTAGCCTTCACCTGAACCCTGTTAGGCGTCCGCTGTCAGCTCTCCCGATGTTGCAGGTGAGGAGGTGGCTGTCGAAGAGGCTGCAGAGGTGTGAGCAGCAGGGCTGGGAGGCAAGCCAGGCGGTCTAACTCGAGGGCCTGTACTTTGTAGCCACACCCTGGGTTGCCTCTGTAAGGCCTGTTTAAATAGTCCCCTCACACAAGAGTGAGGGTGGCTTTATTTTGATGGAAGGTGAGCAGTTACTTGTTAGCTTTGATTATCAGTGTCTGAAACTTCAGGTCTGAGTATTGTAAGAGATCGTTAATCTCTTTTTTCCCTTTTCTCTTTTAGATACCAGTTTTTCTTGCAGGTGAAGCAAGATGTCCTCCAGGGCCGGCTGCCTTGCCCTGTCAACACTGCGGCTCAACTGGGAGCATACGCCATCCAGTGTAGGTTCCACTTAAGCACACTTGCTTCAGAAATGTCTGGAGGAAATATTTGCATTTTTCTTTGTAAGCAAGTTTATATATAAAAACCCTTATCAACTGATATTTTGCTAAAAAAAATTAAATTTTGTTAGAATTCAAGTTCTGATCAGTTTCCCTTTGGAGCAGACAAAAAGGGAGCCATTTAAACATCCCTTATAGTAGGTTGTGTGGAGTTTTAGTCGCAGGAACAGCATTGATTCTCATTTAAGTGAAGGGCCTAACGATCTGTTCTGTCCGACATCCTGCCTTCCCACCTGAGATCACTGATTGCCCGCCCAAGCTGTTAATGTCTTGGAAATCACAGTGCTTCTGGGCAGCTGTTGTGATGACTCCATGCAGCCAGGTGCCGATGCAGGCTCCGAGTGTGGCGGACATGTGGGCTCTCAGCATCAAGGCATTGCCCACGTGGGGCAGCTTGGGGTTGCGTTGTCCGTTTGGAGACTAAGGCTGAGACTATTTTCTCTAATAATTGTTGAACACCTAAGAATCAAGCTAGGTATGGGTGGAATAAGACAGCATGGTCCTTATGTTTGTGTCACTTGCAAACCAGAAATAATCTAGAAGACATATCCTAGGAAAAATGTCACATAGATGAACTGGGTTGGAGCTTGCAAGGTAGATTAACATAGGAAGGAGCATTTTTATAAGAGTAATATAGTGAGCTCTCTGGGTTCATTTTGCTTCTTTTGTGTAAACTGTAATGGGATATGTGTGCAGCATTGTATTACGTTTCCCTGGCATATTTTGAATCATATGCTCCATCTCTTGGTGTCATTGTCTGAGAGGAGATATTGGGGTCGTGGTTGTTTGTCACCTCCAGCATTCCTAATGTTCATACTCTAAATTCTATTTGTAACATTTTCTATAAACTGGTAAGAATAATTGAAACGAAAATGATAATTATAGTCTTTGGGAAAGCAAAAATGTAGAACTTATGTTTTTAAGTTAAGATTTTGTTCATACCATCCATATATGCTCTTCAGAGTTGTTTTGGTAAAATTGAGTTATATGTGAATTTTTTAATATGGCATTTGAAGAAAAATGTTTAAGTATAATAGGAATATTTTATTCTTGTATTTTAAGGAATAGTTTTCTAAAATGGAAAGAAATTACAATTTCTTTCTTTTTTAGCTGAACTTGGAGATTATGACCCATATAAGCATACTGCAGGGTATGTATCAGAGTACCGGTTTGTTCCTGATCAGAAGGAAGAACTTGAAGAAGCCATAGAAAGGATCCATAAAACTCTGATGTAAGAATCATGTCTTACGTTGATCATCTGTCAGTTGTCATCTTATGTTGCTTGCAGGCATAAAAATAGTTTCTAGAATTATAAATTCTTCACCTGTGCCCTGAACATTCTGGTATTCTTTTTGATAGTTTTTTTTTATTGCTTTTAACACTAAAATGCTCACAGAAAACTCCAACAGTTTAAAAAGTATAAAAAGGAAAGTAAATTTCAGTACTTTAAGTCACCATGTATTTGGTAAATGGACTTTCAGGCCTCTCTGCACAATTTCTCATAGAGAAAATTTATCTTATATAGATTTAGTATGTATGTATGATTTTATGAAAGTGGAATCATTCTATTAATACTGTATTTTGCAATTTTTTGCAGTCACCAATATCTTATGAAGTTTATTTCTATATCTATAAGTGTAATTTATAAACACAAACGTTTTTAATGTATTCTGGGTTTGCTCTGTCTTCAGTATGCAAATTTTTCATAGTTCTAAGCCAAGTCCTATTCCGGCTATAGCAGTAAATCTGGAAATCACGATGACACCAGTGTGGGGCCTTGGAGGGTATTATATTAACATCTCGTGCACTTCCGAGAGTAGACACACTCCCCTAGTAGGATTTTCAATTAATGGCTTGCAGCATTTAAGTTATAATTCAATTATGGTTATTCTGGTTAAATCCTTTATGCTGATTAACTTTGCTTTATTGCCTCTTATGTAACATTCCCTCTTGAATATACTCGGTTTCAGATCTATTATAGTTAAGGAAAAAAATGTAGAATTAATCTGGTCAACAAAAAATGTTTGCCTAAAGGATCTGTTTCAGTGAGCAGAAGCAGAAGTCAACAGCTGAATTGCAGTAGGTGAAAGAGGCTCTCCGTCTGGTATTATTAGCACGTGCTCGGCTAGAATGCTCTTCCAGCCTGATTGTAGGGTCCTTCATGTCAAGGTTTTGCTGAAGTGGATGCTAGGAGAGCTTGTTATATTAATAACATTATGAAAGACCGTGTGTTTGGCACATTCTGAGAATACTAATTCTACTAGGAGTTTCCAAGTAAAACTATATTTTGAAATTATCAAGGAGCTTTGGCTAAAGGCCCTCATGTGTTTTATGTGAGGGTGGTGACAGCTGACTGTCATTTCTAGGAATAAGCTTGATCGAGGTTTGGTAGCTTTCTTGTGTTTAATCTGATGAACATTCTTCATGGATTTCAGAAATATGGTATATTGCTGGGTTTTTCCAGTGCACTGTGGCTGAAACAAAGGAATGCATCAAAGCAGGATTTCTTAATTTCTGTCTCTCCCTTAACTCATCTGTGGAGGTTCCTAGCAGATTCTCATCCTCGTTAGGAATGAACGCTGTTTTCTGTGTCTCATCTCCAGGGAAGATAATGAGAAGGTTTCTACACTCTGTAGTAGGAAAATGACAATCATTTTTGCAGTTAGTATATGTCAGCTGATATATTTTCAAACTGGACATGTGCTTAGGAGATGTTGATGTGATCCCAGTTGGGTGGTGGGGGGGCCCATTCTCTCCACCTCCCACCACGGTCCGAGTTCCCTTTGCTTCTGATGGAGAGCTGCTGGTGCTCAGGGACATTTTACTCTTTGTGAAGGGGACACTTTTTCATTGGAGTGCTTACATTCTCAGTAACCTCTTTGGGGGTTTCTGAAACTGAGAATTTTTAATACATGCTGGGACACTGGGGATGGGCTCTAATGAGCAAGGATGGATTTGGTAAATGAAATTAACTTACTATAAGTTATCACCTTAGAGTACAAAATTTTGTCACCGAGAAGACAAAGGCCTTCTTGAACTACTAAGATGTGTGTTTGCATTAGTACAAAGGATTATTTATTTTTCCAGGGAATGCAATGAAGATGGTTTACATTCCCTGCAAGTGCAGTAGCTACAGTAAAATAAGGCTCTTTGTTTTTGTGCTGGGTACAGGGGTCAGGCTCCTTCTGAAGCTGAGCTGAATTACTTGCGGACTGCCAAGTCCCTGGAGATGTATGGCGTTGACCTCCATCCCGTCTATGTGAGTAACATTTAATTAACACAAAATATTTTAAGCTGATGACATTTTTCTTAAAAAGTCACTGAGACTCCGAAAGGAAAGCTGCAGTCCTGTTGTTTAGAGAGCAGAGAATACTTTTTCATCTATGTTTTTCTAACATGAAGCAGCTCTTGTGTGGATTAAACCCTAATGAGTTTTGCATAAAAATCTGTGATTATATTTTCACGTGTAGAGAACAATTAACTGGGCTTGAAAACACAATCTGGATAACAGCTCCAAAGGGTTTAGCTAAACAATGTCAAAACAATTTAAAATTGGTCTATAATTGATTGTATTAGACAACAGGAGAATTTTCCAAAAATCGATTTTATGGCTGAAAACCATAAATGAAATTACTTGCTAGGTAAAGTAGACATCGGGCAACAGTCCAGGTGCAAGTATTGTTGGTTCTGTGTTGTATGTGAAGGTTCTGTCACTATTAAAGTTACCACCTGCTATAGGTATTATTGTATTAATAGACATTTTTTTCAGATTTTTTTTCAGTGACTTATGACAACTTGCTGGGTATAGTCAGTGAGCAGTCACGCTGAATCTGCACTGAGTGTTCTGTATCCAGGTCTTAACTTTTGAGCCACTTCTCTTAGGCTATCAATTGATTATCCTATACCAGTAAGATTGAAATGCCACTGCCTTTGATTTTGTAAGAGTTGTAGTTAGCAATAGTCACATTTGATTATTTGACCCGGGTGCCTTATTCTTTATAAGAAATTAATTGCTAAAGAGTACGTGTATAGATTGAATTTTTGTCAACTGGACCATAGAACTCAATTTTTAAGGAACCCTGATAAAACTTTCTGTAATGCAAATAACACTCATGCATTCATTTTCTAATATGTCTTTTGCTGCTCATCAGGGCTTCCTCAAACAAGAAACCGTCTCATATTCTTTTTAAAGAGTTAGAAGCATCCCTGGGTATACAGTCAATATAGAAAAAAGTTAAAGGTTTTAGGAAAGTAATATTCACTGATATTAGATTTAAATCTCATTTGGTTATTAAATGCTTCATAGTACTATCCTTTAAGAATACCCCTAAAACTTTGTAGAATCAGCTTTTTCCCTTCTAGCCACATTAGTCTTATTAAGTTTTCAGTTTTTTAAAAATAAAATTCCATAGGAAATTTATAAAGGGAATCTTCTGCAAAATGCTATTACTTTGTGTAATGTTTATCCTAATTTGTAGTCACTTTTTTGTTGGTAGGAATTTGTGGCAAATGAGCTAGATTTATTAGAATCTTTCATACATTCCCTTAAGATTGAATTTTTAGAACCGAAAGTGGGCAACAGCTGGTATTTTTCTAAAACATTATGTTGTCTTATGTTGTTTACGAATATAACTTTGCAGGCTGCTATTTAACTTAGAGCGGAAGTAACGTTAATACAAACAATTCTGTGCATGTCCTTGGTACCCACTCTGTGACTTTTTCCTTTCAGGATCCCATTTTCTTAATTGGGATTTATCATTGCCTGGAAATAAAGGTTCTCTAGTCTTTACCAGAAGAGATTGTGTTTTTAAATTTTGAGCAGTCATAAAGTTAAAAGTAGAAGAAGGAGGGAACATGATGGAAACCTTAGAAAATTCAAGTATGTGTCTGCTGGTGACTGCCTGAATTTTCTGGCGAGGATAGTGGTGGTGGTGAAGCAGACCTCATAATTGTCCACATCAGAGTGTAAAGTCAAGACAAGCCATTTAAAAGCACCCTTGACAGAATCCTGAAGTGGTTCTCAGTCCTTGACTACGCAGGAGAATCACCTGTAGCTTTTGTGTGTTTTGTGCTACTTTGGCCCCTGCACTAGAGATTCTGATTTAACTGGTTTTGGTAGCACCCAGGCATCAGCATTTTGAGCTGCACGGGTGATTCCAGTTAATGTGCAGCTGAGATTGAATACCACTCTGTAAGGAACACTGAGTAAGTCCATCAGGGGCCTGATTGGTAGGCCAGGTTCCTTTTAATGAACTGAAGTTACAAGTTTGGATTAATACTAAGAAAAGTTTTCAAAAAAGCTTTGAAAAAAATGAGCAACAAGTTAGCTACTATCACAGCTTAGCTAGCTTTCTAGGTTAATGTCTTTCAAAAATTAAGTCCAATATTAGTACAACACATTATGTCTGTATGGCCAGTTATTGTTTGACAAAAAGCTTTTATGTGAATAAATTCATAGTTATAGGCATGTGTTTGTTTTTGCAGGGAGAAAACAAGTCTGAGTATTTCTTAGGATTAACTCCGGTTGGTGTTGTTGTCTACAAGAATAAAAAGCAAGTGGGGAAGTATTTCTGGTAGGTATAACTTGAGTGCAGGTTTGGTATTAAAGTTATGTGCTGTGTGTATGGGGCTCATGAGACTTGCGTGTCAGTGAAAAAGTTAGGGGAAAGAAAACAGGCGCATTTCCAGTGGTTGATTAAAAAAAAAAATGAGTGAAATCGGGTGAAAGTTTTTTCTCGGTGCACCTTACTATATATATCCTCTGTAAATTTTAGACACCGTGATTCTGGACTCTCTAGTACAGGGAAGCTGTATGTAGTGGGACTTCCCATCCATTCCAGGGTGTGTCAGTGGGCTGCGAATCCAAGACTGCTCTGAGCTATCTCTGAATGGGAAGGATTGCGGAGACTGGGGAGCCTGCGGCCCTGCACCGTGTCTGGGAAGGCAGCACTGGCACAACCTGGGGATTCCAAGCTTGTCTGTGCATTTTGTTTTTTTAAAGCCAGTCAAACTTAGCAGTGGGGGGTCGTATGCCAACTTTAGTGACAGTAATGTTAATGAGTTCTGATAACCCACTACCATCGGACCAGCCTTGTCTGTGCACTTAGTGGATTTTCTTTAAGAGGGTGTTCAGAGCAAAGGACAGACATTCAGGGAACTCTCTGCAGTCACACAGCAATATATAAAGGAGCCAGTATTCACCAATCTTTTTCCACTGGATACTTCTCTGAATTTCTGAAAAATTAATTCTTAAAAACAGCAACAACACCACCATCTGCTTTGTTTTTCAGGCCTCGGATTACAAAGGTTCACTTCAAGGAGACTCAATTTGAGCTCAGAGTACTGGGGAAAGATGTAAGTTTTTGTGAGCACTTAGCTGAAATGAGGAGAAGAGTCTTGTGTGCTCATTTATAACCTGACGTTGTGAAATAAAACTTCGTATTTTCTTTAGCTGCAGCCACGTGGAACCAGGTTAATTAACTCACATGCATAACTTTTCAAGGAAGCGAAAGGGAAGTGAGTAGAAATGAATGAGATGGTGATGGACAAATATCATTTTAGGTTTAGCAAAGAAAACAAAACCTTTCTAGGGCAGAGGAGAGAATAGGAGGTGATTATCATTATAATTAGTTTTCAGTACTGTCTGAAGGTACAAGTCATATAATCAGAAGGGTGTATCCTGCATGTGGGGCTGCAAAAACATGTCCTCATTTTGCTCTAAAGTAAATTAAACAACTTGTTAGGAGTCACCCTTTGGCTCTTACCCCAGCTGAGCATGATAGACAAACCAGATGGAAATTCTGAATGCTTTCAAGGGAGAATGCAAGATGAGAATGCAAAAATGTTGACCTTCACTCTGCAGCTTGGCAGTGTCCTCTGGGAGTTTCTGGGTAATGGGCACAGTGTTTGTCAGAGCCTGGCTGTGGTGTCATGCCTTGACAGGTAGCTTTGTGGAAACTGGTCAAAAGAAGGCAAGGATGCGAAAGCTTCCTTTTGATCTCCCTGTGAAAATAATGGTCCCTTGAAGTGTTGTTACTGTAATCCATATGTTATGGGATAAATGAGTAAAAATATGACATGTAATCCATATTTATAGGATATAAGAGTGAAAATATGTAGGAGAATCCATCCTTCTGCCTCTTTGATACTAACTTTATGCAGAACAAAAACTCAGTGAATGGAGTTGAATTGATTTTCTAGATGTTCCAAAAAAAAAAAAAAACCAAACAGTGCTTATGCATCCAGATGTTGAGGCACAGGAACTGTTAGCTGCAACTACTGCTGGGACCTGGTACATGGCAGAACACCTCACACGCAGGAGGTATTCAATAAATGTCTGTTGAATGATCCATGAACAACTGGTGTGTGCTGAGACGCTGTGTACTGCCAAACAGAAAACCTGGTGCTACTATTGGTTCTCCTTTTAGAAAAAAATATTGTCCCACCCTGAACTATATGGCATGCTGCCATGTACTGATAAAACTGGATTTTGAAATGAGTTTTAACTCGTAAAGGGAAATTCCAGATTTTTAAAGAAATGATGGTCCAAAAGCCGCATTGTGGTTCTTAACAGTCTAGTTTGGAGGAAATCCAATGTGTTCAACTCCTGATTAGACATGTCAATCTTGAAAGATGCACTAATATAAGACTGAATTAAAATCATTCAAAAACTAGAATAGCTAATTAGAGAGTTATGTAGTTTTCTCCCTGTCCTGCCCTTAGGTTCGCATGAAGGACAAAATCTGTTAAATATATTGAAAATAATGTTTCATGTTTTTTAGCAGAATATGGTAATAAAAATAAAACTTTTGTGGAAGCATTACTGTTATTCAAAGTATTCTCTCCCCTTATACCTGTTATTTCTGTGAGTGAGGTCCTTTGGTGAACTACTATTATGTTATTACAATGTATTAAAATGTATGTTTACTACTGGCTCAAGATAAATATTTGGTAAACTCACAGCTAACTGGAACTTTCAACTTCTTAGACTTCATTATTAGGCAAAACAACAGCAGCAAAATTGATACCATCATGGTATTTTTCAAATGGTTGTCTCCATGGTGTGCCCTGGCTCCCTGCACACTCCCCTCGGGACTCCTCCGCTCACCCAATCTTCTGCCCGGCTTTGAGACAAAATGGGTGTCTGGGGAGGCCTGAGGCACTGCACATTCCTAGGTCATTAGGCCTGGTGTCGGTGATCTTTGGTGAACAGGTGATCTTTGGTGAACAGGCAGAGCAGGGCACGTTACTCAGAGGCTTGATCAAAGGGTTTCTAAAAACTGTTACTAAATAGCACATTAATTTAGCCAAAGCATTCCCTTTCCTAAGCATTCCTGCTTGTTGAGTCTTTTCTCTTTCTCCACCAGGGTGCCTCTCTGTGAGGCAGCGATTTACATAATGGTAGAATTAAGTTTATTATGGAGGCCTAACTGTAATCACAGATTGAATTAAAAAGCCCCTTAAAACCTATCACCTGGAACAGCGATCACATTGAGCATGAAGAATGGTCAAAATGCTTATTCTGCTGGTTTTCCGGCCTGTTGGTCTGGTCAGATTCTTAACTCTCTATGTTCAGTGCTTTTAGGCCAAATTCAGAGACGTTTTAATTATTTATACTTCAAAATAGGTACTGTGGTTTAAATCACAGAAAATCTAAACTTTTAGTATAAAGATATTGTTGACTATAGAAAATCTGGAAAATATTAGTGCAAAGAAGAAAATTAAAATTACTCATTATCCTAAAATTCAGAGGTGATGATTATTAATATTTTGGTATAATTGCTTCTAGATTTTGCCCTGTTAGTGTGAATGTATAATATATATGTGTATACACATATGTAGATCATTCCCTGTATGGTTTTTACATGCTTTTTTACTTAATATCATATAAGAGTTTCACATTTTTAAAATTTATTCACATGTGAGGGCCAGGTATGGTGGCTCATGCCTGTAATCCCAGCACTTTGGGAGGCCAAGGTAGGAGGATCTCTTGAAGTCAGGAGTTTAAGACCAGCCTGAGCAACATCAACATAGCAAGCCCTCGTCTCTACAAAATATAGAAAAAATTAGCTGGGCGTGGAGGCACGTTCCTGTAGTCCCAGGTGTTGGAGAGGCTGAGGCAGGAGGACCACTTGAGCCCAGGAGTTTGAGGTTTCAGTGAGCTGAGGTCACACCACTGCCCTCATGCCAGGGTCACAAAGTGAGACCCTATTTCAAGAACAGAAAAAAAAAAAAAATTATTCACATGTGCCTACTTGGTGTTTGATAAGTTTTCTTTTTGTGTGTTTTAATTTTTTTCTTGCCTTTACGGATGAAATCTTTTCCTTCTATTGTATCTTCTAACTGGTTTCTGCTAAAAGAAGTGAAATCTATGGAATTTCATATAGTTACCTCAGATTTGACCATTTTGCCAAATTCTTGTATTCCAGCCAAGAGTTCTTAATTTCATTCTCATAAATTTTTATAGGTACATAATTATATCATTTGTGAATGGAAATTTATTCCTATTTCTGTTATTTATATTTCATATCTGTAGTGTTGGTTGGAACTTGTAGAAGAGTATTAAGTGATATAGCAATATAAGGCATTCTTGATTGGTTTTTATTTTAATGAAAATACCACTACTGTTTCATCACTTATGTGTTAGCTCTTGGTTTTAGGAATATGTGTTTTACTGGGTGTTAACATTTTTTTAAATTTATCATCAAATGCATGATTTTCACTGAATGCCTTGAGAACCAAGTCTGTTGCTTATTCATTCATTCAACAACTTATGCTCATTTTGAAATCCAGGCAAGAGCTGGTAGTGACTCTGTCTCAGTGGATCAGGGTAGCAGCCTTCAAAGCTCCGAGAAGCTGTTGGATCCAGGGTTTCCTGGATGGGGAGATATGAGAGAGACAAGTCCTAGTAGTTTAACCGTGTTTAGCCCGAGAAGCAGGAAGGATGGAGCTGCCATCAGGCAAGGCCGGGAAGGCTATGGATAGAGCAGGCTTGGGAGGAAGATCAGGAGTCCTATTGTGAACATGTTGAATCTGAGATGTCTTTTACACGTCTGAGTGGAGATATTAAATAAGTGTGCTGTGAGTGTGCTCAGTACCAAGGTCTGAGCAGCATATACAAATTGAGACTCATTGGTGCTTCCTGGCACCTTCTTATGGCAAAGCCGTAAGACTGCATGAAATCACTAGGAGGATGAGTATAAATGAGAAAAGAAGAGGGAGAACCAGCAAAGAAGGCTGAGAAGGATCAGCCACTGAGGTAGAAAGCACACCAATTACATTATCCTGGATGCCAAGTAAAGGTCATATAATAAGGAAGCATCGAAGAATGTCAATATGTCAAATAGTATAAGCACTGAGAATTGACAGCTGAATTTAGGAGTGTAGGAGATCATCGACAAGATGAGTTTCAGTGGGTTGAGAGAGTAAGCTTGAGCCCAGCAGTTCCCCTCTTAGGTATGTATATCCTCGAGAGATACAAGAAACATGTATGTTCTGTGCAGCACTTATATAAAAGTTGAAAAGAAAAAATAAAACTCAGAAGTCTATTAATAGGAGAGTTAAGCAAATAAAACTGATGTATATCCATTGAGAAAAAACCGAAGAGGCAACAGGAGGAGAGGAATTGGAGATAGTGTAGACAACTCTTTCGAGGAGTTTCGGCACAGAGGTAATAAATAGGAATATATAATAACTGGCAGGGACTGCAGTGACGTCAAGATGTGAGAGGCATCACTAAGGATGACAGCCGCCATGAGAGATTGCAGGTGGCGTAACCTGATGAGATTCAAAGCTGAAAGTTTTAGAGGGAAGGAAAGAGGATGGTTTGAAAGCAGCAGTGGGGAGCAGGGAGGATCTTCCCCCGCTTTCAGGCTCAGTGCTGCAAGATCAGTGGGGACAAAAGGCACGGCCACCGCTTGAGAGGCCAGCAGTGGAAGCAGCGTCCTCAGGGAGGGCCAGGTGTCTACTAGTGCAAGAATGTGAAGGAAATGTAAGAGAGCAGACTGCAGAGCCAGGGGCTTTTGGTATGGGAGGGCACAGGTAGGGGTTTTGGGTTGGGTGGTAGTGGAGAAAGAGACAGATGAGGGGATGGGCTGAGCATTATTTGGGGGTGACTGGTATAAGCAGAAATAAGCATAATGAAAATTGGTCCAGTGGATATGACGAGGGGAGCAAGAGCTGAGTTTCCACATCTGCCCAGTCACCCTAGTGATAAGTGTAAAAGGCCTAAGGGAGGTGGGGTGTCTCCAGTGCACTAACTAGTTCAGTCTGACCCTTCTTAGGGAAAAGCCTCTCTTACCTGTGCGCGTGTGTTGGGTCTTGACACTTGCTGATGGAGTTGTGGGGAAACGGGG